GGCATGAACTGGGCCCCTTTGGCGAAGTAGGCCCCTCCTTTGGCCAGGTACGGGCTCCCTTCCGTCACGAACACGCCGGCTCCATCCTGGATGAACGTGGTGCCGCCCCCGGTTTCGGTAACCATGGCGATGGAGGGCAGGAAGTCGCGGCGGCGGCGGCGGCGGCCGTCGGGCCGGCTCAGCGCCTCCTGCCGCAGCTGCTCCCTCCGGTTGGAGCGCTGGTAGGCCGTGATCAGCCGCCGCAGCCGCGCCGTGAGGGCCGAGGCCGCCGGCCAATAGAGACGCTCGTTGGGGCCGGAGGCTCCGCCCACGGGAGGGGCACTCTGCCCGTTCTCGCCAGATTTAACTAGAGAAGAAGAAGATGAGATACTGAACAGATTCCAGACTGTGCTAGCTTAAAGCAACTGTATTATACTGAACAGTTTCCAGACTGTGCTAGCTTAAAGTTAGCTTAAAGCTATCGTATTATACTGAACAGTTTCAAAACTGTGTTAGCTTAAAGCTATCGTATTATACTGAACAGTTTCCAGACTGTGTTAGCTTAAAGCTACCGTGAACAGTTTCCAGACTGTGCTAGCTTAAAGTAACCGTATACCGGAGCTGATCTGAGGTTTGTTTTGACATTTTTAAAGACTCCGAGTGTCAACTTTCTCCTTAATAACTCGGTTTTCCAAACCGGTTTTGCTCACCCTCGGTTTCCCCCTCCGCCGTCTCGTCTTTGTCGTCCAGAGGGGAGTTAGTGAAGTCGTCCATGTCGTCTTTGAAAGGCATTCGCATCGGTTTGTACTCTGGATCCTCATCCTCACTACAGGAAACAACAGAAAAGCCCAACAGGTCAGCTCCCTCCATCTCTCTGGAGCTAAAGCTACCTGGAGTAGGAACATCTAATAACACATATGTCCAGGACGAGCCTTTAGAATCAGTATCAGAATCAGAATTAGGTTTATTGCCAAGTAGGTTTTTCACCTACAAGGAATTTGATTTGGTGTTAGGTGCACAACACTTCTATGAGACAAGAAGGGTTCCTCTCTTACCCCTCGACCCCGTCGGCCATCATGTCGGAGCCCCTCTGCTCGGCGGCGATGGCTTTGGCGTCCGGCATGCCCACTCGCTCCAGAAAAGACAGGGTGGGGTCGGCACGCATGGAGTTGTACTTCTCATAGCCTGAGGAGAGGAAAAAATCAAAATAATTAACACCTGGACTAATAACATGGACTCATTTGATGGTAAAGAAAGTCTATTACTGGTTGAAGAGTAGCCATGCTTCTTAAAAAAACAAATCTTGATATTTTTTTGCTTTATTCTCATCTTAAAAATACAAATGTTTGCCTATTTCTTAACATTTTTACATTAAGCTGATGAAACACAACACATTACTGTTTTTATCTCCATTTAGTTTATTCTATTTAGGGAAAAACAAAAGAAAAAAAAGAATCTAATTTGCAACCACATGTTGGAATTTTTCTTTGAAGCCAGGTTGGAAATAAGTTGGGGAAAAAGCTATAATCAATCAAAAAAAGGAAGGAAAAATAAATAAATCGACACCTGAAGTAATTAAATGGACTCCTTTGATTGTAAATTACTCAGAAAGGGCAGCCATGCATCTTAAAAAAACCCAGTCTTAATATTTTTTTGCTTTATTATTATCTTAAAAATACAAATGTTTCCACATTTCTTAACATTTTTAGATAAAGCTGATGAAACCCAACAAGTTACTGTTTTTATCTCTAGTTTATGACAAGTTTACTCTATTCCTGGAAAAAAACAAAAACAAAAAAAGGACTATCTTTGGCTTGACTGCTTTTAAAGTAAATGCCTGATTTTTTCTTTAAACCCAGGTTGCAAATAAGTTAGGGAACAAGCTATAAACACTAGGGATGGGACGGTTTCTGAAAACCGTCTGAACCGTTCGGTTCGACTGTCTCGGTTCGGTTCGCGTGTGTACCGCACGGTTCATGCACTGCTCCTTTTTCTCAGAGGGAAGCGTGTTCACTCCAGAGCAGAAGGGGGCGCTACTGCACCCAAAGTCAACCACCAGTAGGAAACCAGAAGAAGAAGAAGCAGCGTAGCCAATAAAAATCTGACGCGCCAACAGCAGTTTCTAGGTCTGCTGTATGGACCAGTTTGCATTTAGAGGGAAGCACATGTTGGAATTAGCACTATTTCCTCTCTGCCAGAATCTCACCTACTTTTAACCTAAGACTGTCACAATAATGGATCAAATGTCAGACTGCTTTTTTCTTTCAGTTTTTACTAGGGATGGGGATCGAAACCCGGTTCTATCAAGGACCTGGTTCCACTTTTTTCAAAACCCCAAAATCAATAACGTTTGGGCTTATCGATACCACTATCGAGTCTGGTCGTTTTTTTTTTTTATTACAATAGTAATTGTGAAATCTGTGTTGTAATCGGCAGCATACAAGCTAGTTAGCTTGAAAAGTAAATAAAGTTTCAGACGTGCTGCGTGATGATGTGTTCAGATTGGCTCAGTAAAACGACAATTAGGTTATCATGATGCGTTCAAGTGTAACGTAAAGAAAAGGGAAATTGAGTTTTTGGCGAGAAACATGAGTAATACAGTTGTATATTGCTCTAATTATTTTTAGAATATATAATTAAACTACTGATGCCAACATTTATTAAAAATTACATTTAATTTAAAATACAATTATTTATTTGTTAAATATTGTTGCATCGTCTTTCCACCAAATAACAGAAAATTATCGATAGTGGTATCGATAAAGACTCGGATCGATAAGGAGTATCGATAAAAGTATCGATATCAATAAATATTAACAATCCCCATTCTTAGTTTTAACCTGGCTATACAAGACATAATAGATTTTCCTAACAATCACCATATACCGAACCGAACCGAAAACCGTGACCACGAAACCGTGAAACGAACCGAACCGTGGATTTTGTGAACCGTCCCACCCCTAATAAACACCAATCAAAAAAAGGAAAAATGAATAAATCGACACCTGGACTAATGACTGGAGGCATGAGGGGCTTAAAACTGGTTTCCCCCGGTAACCTGCTCAGTTTGGCTACTGTTCCACACAAATAATTTCCCTCTGGGATTATTAAAGTATTTCTGATTCTGATTCTAAAGTTGATGACTCTTAGAAAGAGGTTTGGGAGAAAAATCTGCTTTCTAAGAGTCTGACGGGCGGATGTCTCCATGTTAAATGAAGCAAAGTAAGAAGGGCCGAACCCACTCAGCCAGCAGGTGCTTCTGGGGACGGAGAGATGGCCAGACAGGAAGAGGAGGAAGAGTGTGTGTCTGTGTGTGTGTGTGTGTGTGTGAGTGTGTGTGTGTGTGTGTGTGTGTGTGTGTGAGTGTGTGTGTGAGTGTGTGTGAGTCTGAGGGGGAACGAGCCTCTGTGTGTTTGTCCGTTAGGAGCATTGAGGCAGAACAGATTAGAGTCTGCAGATCCTACTGAGACACGTCGGCAAGGAGAGGGGGGGGGGGGGAGGAGGAAAAAATAGGAGGAAGACGAGTGAGGAAGAAGAGGAGGAGAAAAGAGGAATGGGAAGAAGAGGAGGAGGAGAGGGGAGGAAGGAGGAGAGGAGGGAAGGAGGAGGCGCAACAGAGGGGTTCAGCTGTGGCCTTCCTCACTCCTCTTCCTCCTGTCTTCTCTTCCTCCCCTCTCCTCCTT